GCAGGACTTTTGCTACACTAAATTGAGCACAAATTTAGTGTTGCATTAATAACAAGGAGTGGATATCACTATTTGCTCTCCATTGTACTCAGCAGTAATACTCAATACCACAACCAAAATTTTGCAGCCAATTAATTAAATGCAGGCCATTGTATTAAGCATGCCAAACTTCTTGGAGTTGTCTGGAGCACTCTGACTGGAAGAGAGCTGGCCATGTGACTGATGGGACACATAAAACAGACTCTTCCCAGAATATTTTTGATCTCCCATTCCTTCTTAATGCACTTTGCCAGCTCTGGACTCCCAAAGACAGCAGAGCGCAATTCACATTTGTATGGTATATTGCTGTTCTTCACAAATGTGCAGAGCTTTTTTCTTAACAGCCATACCACTGCCCTTTAAACGCACCCTGAGGAGCACTTAGAACAGAGAACGGGCATATTTTCACTCTATATTAGGTCTGAGAATGTGCCCTGGTCATGATTTGCAGCAAATGATGCTTGAAAGACTAGAAGACACCGTCCCAAAAAACATGTTACCCTTGCAGTTATGGGCACACAGACCAACTCACAGCACTTCAGTGAAACATGGCAATCCCTATACTACCTAGAGTTCGTAAAAGGAAATTTGAATCATCATCTTCAATATTTTCTCATAGCTGAAGCCGGCTAGCTGAAAGAGACACCCACAAACAGGCAGGGGGGGAAATCAGGGATGTGGGGACCAGCTGCAAGAGTTAAAAGCCAATTTTTAACAAGAAGAAGGTTAAAACAATGTAAGTGTGGACCTAATTATCTTAAAAAAACAAACAAAACACAGCAAAGGTTTAAAAAGGAGAACAATGGGGTTAGGGCTTTTCCCCATAGTTCTCCTTAGGGTAACGGGAGGACACAAAATAGCGTCCTCCCGTCATCCTAAGCTCAGTATACCGCGAGCTGTAGCTCCCGGTATACTGAGACGCCACAGCTGAATCGGATCCCGACAATTATGTCTGGATCCGCCCAGCTGCGTGAGTGACTGCTGGCTCTGCCTATCTAGAGGCAGAGTCAGCTGTACCCGCCCCCTCACCCGTCCGTTTTGCCAGTCAGAGCTGGAGGATTGGAGCGGGGAATCCAGTCCCTCCCCTGTCACGGCAGAGAGCCGTGACAGGATCGAGAAGTGAGCGAACGCCGTTATGTGTTCGCTCACTTCCCGATCTACTGAGCCGACCTGTGACAGTTTCATTGTCACAGGTCGGCTCAGATTGTGAGGATGAGTGAAAAGCACTCACCTCATAGTTCTCCTTTAATATCACTTTAACCTACATTAGGTCTCACTCCTTAGGGTAACGGGAGGACACAAAATAGCGTCCTCCCGTCATCCTAAGCTCAGTATACCGCGAGCTGTAGCTCCCGGTATACTGAGACGCCACAGCTGAATCGGATCCCGACAATTATGTCTGGATCCGCCCAGCTGCGTGAGTGACTGCTGGCTCTGCCTATCTAGAGGCAGAGTCAGCTGTACCCGCCCCCTCACCCGTCCGTTTTGCCAGTCAGAGCTGGAGGATTGGAGCGGGGAATCCAGTCCCTCCCCTGTCACGGCAGAGAGCCGTGACAGGATCGAGAAGTGAGCGAACGCCGTTATGTGTTCGCTCACTTCCCGATCTACTGAGCCGACCTGTGACAGTTTCATTGTCACAGGTCGGCTCAGATTGTGAGGATGAGTGAAAAGCACTCACCTCATAGTTCTCCTTTAATATCACTTTAACCTACATTAGGTCTCTTGGGGGTAGGATTTTTAATCATGGCATGTATGAGGTACATGTTTTAACAATGTCATTTGCTTATACTATCTCATGTAATCAAATAAAGGGTGATTTTTACCCACTTTGCCGGGTACAGATTTGGCCATTTGTCTCAAACAGAAATCAATAAGAAATTTAAAGAAACCCAATAGCAAATTCAGCAAGTATTAACATTAAGTGCTTACCTAAGTAGTACTATATTATCAATACATTTCTCACTACAATTTTACAACATATCCAAAAGTATAAACTACAAGAAGTATGCATTCAGATTTGCTTTGAAGCACATATAATACATCCTGTCTTCAGCAGAGCTTCCTGTAAATCTATTTTTAGAGCTATTGGTTTTCTGTCATCAAATAGGAAAGTGATTTTGATAATGTAACAGATGTTGCAATTGGTAATACCATTTGAAAAACAATGGAACATTTTCAAAATGCAAAAAAAAGCTTTCTGCAGATCACAGAATATACTTCAAGGCAATAGTTGTGTACAGAACTAGCGAGTGCCAGGGATTCTGACATATTTTGTAAGGTACATGCCTAGCTGGTATTTGCACTGGATAGACATGAAAAAGAGAAGGCCACCCAGGAACAATTTAAGCTGTCCTTCACTATAATTCTGCAAGGCAGCAAACAAGGAATTTCTACAACAAGTCAAAAAACATTAAATCAAAACATCTGCTCATCCAAGCCACTAACGAAGGTCAGTTCCCAACCAACTTGGAAACTCGCGTTTGTCGTGCAGTTTACCGTGAATCTCGGCAAGCGCGCATATTCGATACGCCTAGGTGTGAACCCAGCCTAAGTGTTCTGTCAGCACTCAGCCTTTTCACTCAGCAGCAGGCTCTCTCAACAGAGAACATGAAAGAAAGAGACTAAAGCATCAGTCAGCTCCTTGCTCCATATTATACACCCACACAGAATATACATACAAGTACACACACAGCACTGTGTAGTAGCTCCTTGCGTTGTAACATAAGCTACTGTGAACCTTTTTTTTTTTTTTTTTTTTTTTTTATTGGCAGTGCACATTCTACTCAGGTTCTGCGCTGCAACCTCTACCTCCTGTTCTCCCCCCCAAAAAAAATGCAGCACGCCAGAAATGTTCCACAAAAGCACACCACAATCAAAGTTCTGGTATTATGGGGTACATTTTTGGCACAGATATTGCACCACGTGTGACAGAAAATTGTTGCAATTACAAATGTTTAGGCAGTCTCATGTTTATTTCTTTTGTTTGCATTGGTAAGACCCAAAAAAAAAGGAAGAAAAAAAAAAAGCCAAAACTGCATTTCACGCAAAACTCCAAAAATGGACTGGAGAAAATTATTGGCACCCTCAATTAATATTTGGTAGCACAGCCCTTGGAAAAAAATAGCTGAAATCAATATTTTTCTGTAACCATCAATTAGTTTTACACCTCTCTACAGGAATTTTGGACAACTCGTCTTTAGCCAACTGCTCCGGCTCTCTCAGATTGGAAGGGTTCCTTTTCCCAACTGTTTTTTTTTTTTAGAGCTCTCCACAGATACTCGGTACAAGTACACATACAGATACTTTTCCAGCTCCAGGACTAGACTAGAAAAAAAAATTCAAAAGTTAGGAGGCAGCTGTCATTTGTAAGAAACATACGGAGCTCCTCAGATTTTTCCATCTATGTTTTAATGTATGATTTTGTTTTTATAAATATATATATAAAAGGGATGCACCGATAATATTTTTCAAGTACAAGTACTGGTACGTGTCCAAGTACTGATACCTTTTTGTTTATTGTCATTGTTTCTAAAACAACGCAGGACTAATGATTTCAGGACAGTGATGGAGCGCCAGAGCTAGGTCCCAGCTGCAACCGCTGCAAGCCTGGTAGTTCTCATGAAAATGCCAAGTATCTGCACTTGTATCTGAACATCCCTAGTTGCAATCTCTGATCGATTGTTCTCTTTCATCCATGTTCAGGGAAATTAGCTACAGTGCCATGGGCTGTAAACTTCTTGACAAGGTTGCGCACAGTAGACAAAGGACCATTAAGACCTCTGGAGATGGACTTGTAACCTTGAGATTGTCCATGCTTTTCCACAAAAACTTGGAATGCAATGATTTCTTGCAATTTGGAGAAGATGCCAATCATTTTGTCCAGTCCAATTTTGGAGTTTTGCATGGAATGTGCCAGATTTTGCTTTTTTCTCTCCACTTTTTTGTGTCATACCAATACAAACAAAAGAAATAAACATGAATGCCGAAACATTTGTAATTGCAACAATTTTCTGCGCAAAGTGGTGCATTATCTGTCAGAAATGCAGGGGTGCCATGAGTGTGTGTGTAAATATAATGCACATATATATATATATATATTATACACACACACACCCCCGCAGGACATGACATTTACAAAGTTTCCTCCTCATTTTCCTAATTAGAACATCGGACTAGTCTCATTGTGGAATGAGAATAATTATGGCATGTTAACCACAAAAGTTTCAAACATGGCTACACATCAGTAAAGATGAAAAAGTTCAAAAGCTTAAAATCCACCCATCATTTTAAACAGAACCAGGGTCATCTTAACACATGCAATGCAAGCAAGGCTCAATTTTAAATTAGCCTGGGAACCCCCTTTAAGAAAGATAGATAATACAAAACCAAACCTGAATTGTTTCTCTGTAACAGAATATGAAAATTATATAACAAATGACGACAAATGCAACTCAGGACAACAAACGGTTCACAACATTTGCTACAAAACATTGAACATTATGTAATGCAGAGGATATAGTGTGCACAGCTTATACAATACATAGTGGAAGAAAATCCATCAATGTTTATTTCCCTTGTTGCTTGCTTATCTCTCTCCTACGGCTAAACAGCCAGCTAAACATTACTGGAAGACATATTGACTAAAATCAGTGCTGAAGATGTACAAACAGAAGTAATTCCATGTATCCACTCCAAAGAGGAACAAAACAGCAGTACACATGAAACACATACATCTATGTCCCAACTGGTCTCAGAGGGGCCTGAGGTGTATCCAGAGATGTATAGAGCATTGCAACTATGGATACCAAACACTTGGGGCTTCTCCAATCTTGGCATACACCGTGTAACACCACTATAGGAAGAGATCAGGGAAGACGCCACGTACAAAAAACACTAGCGTGTACAGCAAGAAAAGAATGCTAGGGTGCTACAATGCATGAATTTTGAAGTTGGAGACTTACCAACAGATCCTAATTGCTTGTAGAATCTATATTCCAAATGCAGCTGTGGTGCCCTGGATTTCATAGGTTCCTGGTACAGAATATAGAATGTTTACAAGTGTGAAATAAAAAGTAACCCACATGTACTGTACAATGCAGTAAAAATATGAAGAAACAGCCTAACAAGACCTCAAACAGTCATGGCACACACTAATAAAGCAGAAATGTAAGCTCATCAATATGTGCATAGCTTTAGCAGATAAAGAAAAAATGCTATTTGGGGACACACTGTTACATTTGCCAAAAAGATTCATCATCCTGGGAAAAAATAAATAATCGAAAAGGCTGTTGGCCCTCAAATCTGACCTGCTGACCTGACCAGCTTCTAACTTTTTCAGGACTGTGTATGTGGGGAATGCAACAAATACTATATTTTAAAACTGAACTCCAGGGAATATTAAAATATCAATTAAAAACACAGATAAAGCGGACCTTTACCCCCTTTTACTACAAATCACAGCAGCATGCAGCTCTGCATGCTAACTTATAATCATCCTACATTCATTAGTAAAACCAACTTGTTTTCCCATTTACTTAGAAATAGAGTTCATCTACCTCCTGGTCCAGTTCTGGCACAAATGATGTAAGCGCCAAAGCATTGCATCCTGGGAAGGTTACATCAGCAGATTCTTGCTGGGAAATCTCATCTGTAATCTCATGAGATCTCAGGGAAAAGCATTTTGCTCCCCTGAGATGATGTGCATGGTCACATGTCCCAGTCACATGTGCCAGAGTTCTAGGAAGTAAAGTGAGATCTAGTAATCTGCCCTTAGTAAACATGGCCACTCTCAGAAGACTGGGGAAAAGAGAAATAAGGTATGCAAAGAATACAAAGCCGGCAATTATCTAGAAGTATGTGTTTGTAGGTTGTCATTACTAAACATTTCTAAAAGGTGTGCTTGTTGTTATTTTAAAGATAAGGATAAAGGTCCGCTATAAGTATTCTTTTTTAAAAAGGCCATGTACTTTAACAGCCCTAAAGTACCCTGGACAGCAGAACTAAAGCTGGCCATACACCTATAGATCTGCAGATTTTCTATGGTCAGATGGAAAATGTGCAACAGATTCCTCCATCTACGCTAAACTGTGTGGATGGAGGAATCTCCCACTGGGCCAAGCTTCAGTATCTTGCTAGTCGGCCCCGCTGGCTCTCAAAATAGCTGCACAATCTGATTGGATGCAGCCATTGTTCAGGTATTTTGAGAGCCAGCGGGGCCGACCAGCAAGATACTGAAGCTTGGCCCAGTGGGGGATTCCTCCATCCACACAGTTTAGTGTAGATGGAGGAATCTGTTGCACTTTTTCCATCTGTTCCATGCACATATTCCAGCTATTCCAGCTAAGAGAAGGCAGAGGAATGATTTCAACAAAGCTCTTCTTCACTGCCTAACAAGCAGGCTGGGGGGAATGTATTCTTGGAAAAATAAGTTAAAGTGACACCAAACCTTAAAAATGTATTCAAGTACCTTAACTATAAACAAAAAATCTATCTTAAATATGCTTTAAAAGAACCTTAAGTTGCAGGACTTGGCTGTGCTGCCTGGCTGGGATGTCTGGATCACCAAACTGACTTCACAGAATTACAAAACATTTAGTAGGTAAAACAGCTCCCTGAAATGTATTTTGTGGTTTTCCTGGAGTTCAGCTTTAATGAAAGCTGGGAGGTATGCGATTAAACACTTTATAGCCCTAGGAACAGTAAAAATTGAACTTACCAGTTTAATTGCCACATATTCGTTTGTGTAGAGATTTTTCCCTTAAAGAAAAGAACAAAAACAAGAATGTTACGCCTTGCCAAGGCTGGATTTACAGCAACACACTGAGAAACAAGTGAGCAATGTGCCAGAATACAAAGTCCACATAAAACCATAATGGGGCCACAACACAAAGCCTCTTACTTAAGACACTTGTGAGACAATAAACGAAACACTCGGTTTTCTGTCAATTCTATTACATTTGGGAAACATATTAAACTTAGGGGTATCACATCACACGAGATCTATATCATTTTAGGCAACAAGGTCCCCCATAGGCTTGAGGCAAACAACATTCACGTCTCCTGGCCTAGAGATACACAGAACAGCATGAACACTGTTCTTTATCCAAGAATATTAGCTGTCCTCAATGAGCCTGCTATTACTGAACAACAAAGAGAGGCATGACAGCAAAAGTAGAGCATGCTGACCTTTCCTGATATGTATTTATTTCAGGTGCACCGAGGACAGAGGATGTCTTTTTTGTACAGTAAACGGAAATCTCTGCAGTCTTCTTTATACCAGCCTCGCTTTACACACACTTTAAATGGCG